AAAGGTACATGCGTCTGTATCCTTTTTGGTGCGTCTGATCAACGCGCTGGAAAAAATATGGCGTTGTCCCTGCAGATAAGCTTGCATTCATGAGAACCGTAGTATAATTTCTATTGGGCATTGCTCATGAACAATGCTGGATAGAGTTCGCTCCAGTGGTAACGGGAGATTATGGGGTCTATTCACTAAGCTGCCGTAGGCAGCCGAGTGAAAGACCGACCTGAAGTGAAGTGAGCCGAACGAACCTTTCAGCGCAGCTCAGCCGAGCCGAGGCATATGCCTTCGGCTCAGCTAAGTTCGGGAGCTGTACGGGCTATTGTGAATAGCCCGTACAGCAGCCCTTCGGTTCTACTGAACCGAAGGGGTCCTGGGGCCGAAGCTAGCCGAAGGATCGGCCGAAGCTACTGCTAGATCATTCGGCTGCTTCGTGAATAGACCCCTATGTGTGTGGGTCTGGGAAGATGGCGGCGTCCATGGGCAAGCATGCTGCTGTTGCACATGGTTTAATTCTGTGCACACCACTTCTGCTCGGACACAAACATTTACTCCGCTTTCTATTGTATACATGTGTTTCATTGGCTGACTCTGTTATGTTGATGTATGGAGGAAGTGACTGGCTGTTGGGGCCACCACTTCCTGTTTGTTAGTCCTTTGTTGCTATACAAATATATGGAGCGAGTGGTCAAGGGGAAACTTGAACACAGAAACTCCAACTTGAAGCAACACCTTGTCTTGACTCTACCTGGGACTACAGAAGTATCTCCGTTCCTTGTACGAAAGAGCTTAATACAACGTGCTTTTAAGCGTGACGGGATTGTTTGTGCTTGGCGCACTTTGATGCTGAAAGTACACCTTTTAGCGCGGCGTGGATTTGTGCGCTCAGCCCAAGCGAATTTCCATAACAGTTTTACTTCTCAAATGTGTCAAGTACTTGGCTAATGTGTCTGCCATCAATGGGAGGCTCTTAAGCATCTGGCAGTCATTATGTGCAGAAGTAAATTTCTGAAATCTTTAGACACATTGGTGGTTAGAAGCAGGTAGGTAAAATGATCAAGTGATAGCTGAATTTGTAGAAGATTTAGGACTTTTTTACACCATCTCCAGTGCGTTCCAGCACGGTTAGCTGATGGAATGCACTGGATCGCATACTGTGAGGCTCCCTTTGTTCTGGGGCGGGAGGGGGCCCGCAGTGCACAGCAATACCCGCATTACGGTCCAGTGCGTTTGCAAAAAATAGTGCTTGTACTATTTTTTGTGAGGCTTACAGTATGTGATCCAGTGCATTCCAGCAGCTGGAACGCACTGGAGATGGTGTGAATGGGCCCTGAAGAGTAGAGCTTATACCATCCACCAAAATGGACGTATCTTAGGGAATAGAATTGAATATATGGAATAAAGTCCCTGAATGGCTGAGCCACCTCTAGCAGCGTTTTGGGATGGTAGAGACAGGGGTGTGTTACCAGTGGCAAAGGATTTTGAACTAGTTTTCTTTATAAAAAGTACAGAGAGTGGATCTGTGCCCAGAATTCCATATTTTGCCCCATTCCTCCATAGTGAATTCTCTATTCAAAGTATATTCCTCATTTAAGCATGTAGTTGTCTTTTGGAAGTGTAATGTTTACATTTTGACTTAAGCTCACATTAAGTATATTTTACTCTACACACTTCTTTAGTTCAGATCAGTTCAGCAAAAATTCAATATGCAGACCCATTTCCAAATGCACTAAAACACATAACATTGGTGTATTTAATGCATTTAGTAGGAAGAGGAATTACCAGCACTCAGTAGAACAATCCAACATGTCCATTTATTGGACATAGACGTCACACAATCACAAGAGCCAACGTTTCGAGACCACACAGGGTCTCTTCATCAGGGCATAAAGAGTCACTCTTTATGCCCTGATGAAGAGACCCTGCATGGTCTCGAAACGTTGGCTCTTGTGATTGTGTGATGTCTATGTCCAATAAATGGACATGTTGGCTTCCTGGTGTGGCTGGGAGTGAGCGATGCGACTCAAGTAGTGAAGCGATCCAAGTCACATCCCCACCCCTCCCGACTGCTTGTCCATTCACACAATGCCTTGTCTTTTTCAAAGCATTCTGTGATTGGAGGAGGAAAGTGACATCTCTTCCTCCAATCACAGAACGCCTTGTATAATAAATGCCTTTTTCCCCACAGAGTGCCTAATTCACCTCACCTTGACTTTGTACAGCTGCCGTGTTGAGTGATATGTGAGATTGTCATCCATTATCACTTCAGCTACATTAAAGTTTAGGTTGTTCTGAAAGTTATGTAATGCTGTTTTTATTGAAGTCAAGTGAAAAAACAACTAGAATGGATTATGTCAACAATTTCCAAAAGTTGATAATGTGGGGCATTCTATATCAAAGTTTCTGAAGGAAGCAGTGTGTATTCCCTTATCAGATCAACTTTTTAACAGGAATACTGGAAACCAGAAAACGGACAATTGGATCATACCTGCCAGTAATTTTTCTTTCCTGGTGCCTAGCCATGGCAGCATACCTGTGATAGGCCCCGCCCCCTATCCCACCTACAGGATCAGATAAAATCTTTAAAAGTGAGAGAGTGACTCCCCCTAGGCCTTTAAGTAACTAGCCCCGAGAGTACCCAGGGAGGGTATATGCTGCCATGGATAGGCACCAGGAAAGGAAAATTACTGGTAAGTATGATACAATTTTCCGTTTTCCTGGTGCCTTCATGGCAGCATACCTGCGATAAATAACAAATTGACAGGGTGGGTACAGATGATAATAGTTTATTATATACCTGATAAGGAAGCTTGGACCGCTCTCCTACCAAAGTCTACTGTAGTTAAGGCCTAGGGGGAGTCACTCTCACTTTTATAGATTTTAACTGGTCCTGTAGGTGGGATAGGGGGCGGGGCCATGAAGGCACCAGGAAAGTGTATTTTAGATTGATCACCATGGGACTGAAGCAGATCTCTCAAACCCCTTACTAAATAAGGTTCACTTGACATCTGGTCCAATCTGGTGCCAGCGTTTGTATCATGTTGTGTGTTTTGTTCTACTGCTTCTTCTGGATTTGTGTTCTCTTTCTGGGGGTTCACTCAAAGTATGTTGCCTTTCTTCACATACAGCATATTATAAATAAGCAGACTTTTCTTTTTTTTTTATAATGTAGAATATTCTGCTGGTGCAGACTAGAAGCATCTATTCATATCCATGCAATTCACAGCACTAGACATATTCTGCAGCAGCATGGTAAAATGCAATGTTTTGTATGGCTTAACGTGTATCTAAACCCAAAAAACAAAAATGTCATATATTGTAGCTTACCAGCCCTTAGATGTGCTGGCTGCATTAGTTTTCTTTTTTTTTCAGACTTTGTTATCTTTATTTGTATCCTGGTATTACGCTTCCTGTGCTAGTGTGACAATATTTATTCACATTGCTGCATGCAAGGAGGTGCAGCATTGTCTGGCAGGAACTGTTTTACTATAACTGAACATTATCCCCTCTCCTCATCTCCTTAACATAGGGCGAGGTGTTCTGTACAGATTTCAACTGGGCATGTCTGAAAAAGTTTGATATATGTCTGCATAGTGAACTTGATTTCTGGCAGGGTCAACAGGTTTTTGCTTTGTACTTCTCAAACAGATATCATAAATTGCTTTCAATGGTATACAGGCAGTCCCCGAGTTACATACATCCGACTTACATCCGACTCCTACTTACAAACAGAGGCTATTACTGTCCAGCAGGGGTAGTTGTAATGCTACCGTGCTCGTGCAGACGAGGAGTGCCTGCCTTTTTGGGTCTGGTTCCTAGTGCTGTACGTACGTTACAGGAAGTTGGCTCTTGTTAGACATGCAGACGAGGGGTGCCCACCTCTTTTACTGGGTCGCTGTGAGGTTTATACTGCTGTCTGTATCCTCATTAGAAAGATTTAATCTCACTTCCTGTCATTGAGACAACTGGAAGTGAAAGGAAATCTACCCCTAGCAAGGGAAATTCACTCCTGTTAAGGTGGCCATACACTCTACAACCATCGCAAGACTTTAGTCTTGCGATGGTTGTAAAGGGATTAAAAAAACGTACGATCTGCCTATCTTGGACAGGCAGATCGCACTCTCGATCATCGCAAGCCCACCCCCCTGAGGGGCGGGCTTCCGATGACCGCCATGCTGCACGGGCAGGGTGCGCGGGCGCACACCGGCCCGTTCAGCATTTATCTTCCGAGCACCGTTCTAACCAGCCGAGAATCGTACGATTCCCGGCTGGTTTTCGAACATGCTGGTTCGACAGAAGACGTGCGACCGTACAGTAGAAACGGTCGCACGTCTCCGTTCACACTGCTCGGTTATCGTACGAAAAACCGATCGCATACGATTATCGTACGATAATCATGCAGTGTATGGGCACCTTAAGAGTGATCATGGGAAAAAGGTGTGTCCACTGAAGCTTCATCATCAATCCTTGTTTCTATGACAATCCAAAATTCTCTAAATCCAATTGTCACAGAAAGTGAGGTGAAATCTTCTGAACAGGAGCACACACAGCAAAACAAACATTACAGGGAGTTAACCTTTCCCTATGCAATTCCAAACAAAAAAAAACGTTTTTTGGCTGGAGTTACACTTAAAAAAATTACCTGTTCCAACTCACAAACCTACAGTCCCTATCTTGTTGGTAACCCGGGGACTGCCTGTATTTACACGTTCACACCTTGATGCTTCTCTGCAGAACAGAGACACAAAGCAGAAAAGACAAGCACACAGAGAATGAGGTGGAGGCACCAAATTAAGAATACATTACAAAGATGAGTGTACTGTTGGAAATGGGTTTAATAATTGCCATGCCTTTTGCCACTGCTGCCATAGTCTGCTACTCATACTTCCCGAATGGTATAGACTTTGCTACGGTCAATAAACTCTGTTTGTACAAATCACAATGAGCTTCCAAAATTCCTTTGCATTTCTTTATTTAAATACAATGTTTTACAAATATGGAAAAGGATTTTATCTATTAATTTCAAATGCTGGACAATTCAATTCATAATATGTATTCATCCACCCTCATTAATACACGAGATTCTAGTCAATGATGACCATTCATTTTACATATGTCCCAATAGATTGGTCAGGAATGTGTGAATGCAGTTCACGACAAATGTGCTACCACTTCACCCTGCAGCAGGACATGCCTGTGTAATGTGCACTGCTGTTGAGGCTTCATGGACAGGAGGAGTTACCCACAGGGTAGATTTCCTGGTAAATTTAATTCACGTCCATATTTCCTTCGTTTTTCATCATCCAAATGTTTCTCATAAGCAGAAAAAGTGAAAACTCTCTCTGCATTAATCCTTCCGTTGATGACTGGACCAAACAGTGTCTATTAGGATTCAACATATTATATATATATATATATATCACATCTAGGCAAAGTAGGCATGGCAGAACACAGCCACAGTTAGTAGGATAATGCCATTGATATTGGACACATTTCTCCACAGAGGAGCTTCTGATGTATCTGTCATCTTTGCTTCCATGGCCTTCTTCTCTTCCTCACTAAGTTTTGGAGCCGCCTTATCTTCGAACCCACAGAACCAATTGTAAGCCTTTTTCCAGCAACTCACTTGTTTTTCCTCTGCATCAAATGTAAAAACAAAAGGGTTGAGTGAATTATGGAGAACAATGCTACACCTAAACTGTCTGCCTTCTCTCCCTTGTTAGCTGAAGGACTAACATTAACTGTGAGTGCTACTGTGGTCCTGCAACAGGAACCAAGCAAATAGCCTTCTGCGGTTCGGTGAAGGGGGGACCCACTGCAGATGTAATCATATGTGAATTGTTGATTCCTTTTGTACCTGACTCTGAAGATGTGATGACGCTGGTTGGACCTATCCTAAGTACTAAAGTCCCTGTGATACGAAGCTATGGCTCTTGTAATGTGTAGTTATTTCAAGTATTACATTATTTATAGATGTGGGGGTCTTTTTGGCTGTTACATGTATTTCAACAATACTGTGCTGCTAATCAGACTAACCGCCATCAGAGTCCTCGTATTCTTCTTCTTCAGCAACCCAGTCTTGAGCATCAAGGTCTATTCTTTCCTCTTTGCTGTTCCTCAGGGACCAACACAAGCGGTAAAGCTGAAAAGAAAAAAAATTATATTTTTGTCACATTATGCCCAGTGCCTCTTATTTCACTCTTATTTCAGTGTCGCAATACATGTTGAAATTAGATACAAATATTTGCATATTCTTTTGATCATTCAGTGATTTTTTTTTCATTTCTCTGTGATAGGTAAAACCAGTCATTAAAATACTGACCACTTTATTAGGTACACCTTGCTAGTACTGGGTTGGACCCCTTTGGTCTTCAGAACTGCCTTAAAGGAGAACTATGAGGTGAGTGCTTTTCACTCAATGAGTCTGTCACAGGTCGGCTCAGTAGATCGGGAGGTGAGCGAACACATACCGGCGTTTGCTCACCTCTCGATCCTGTCACGGCTCTCTGCCGTGACAGCGGAGGGGCTGGATTCCTCCTCCCCGCTCCGATCCGCCAGCGCTGACTGGCGGAACGGACGGTGGAGGGGGCGGGTACAGCTGGCTCTGCCTCTAGATAGGCAGAGCCAGCTGTCAGTCACGCAGCTGGGCGGATCCCGGCACAATTGTTGGGATCCGCTTCAGCTGCGGCGCGTCTCGGTATACTCGGCTCAGTAGATCAGGAGGTGAGCGAACACATACCGGCGTTCGCTCACCTCTCGATCACGTCACGGCTCTCTGCCGTGACAGGGGAGGGGCTTGATTCCCCCCTCCCCGCTCCGATCATGCAGCGCTGACTGGTGGAACGGACGGGGGAGGGGGCGGGTACAGCTGGCTCTGCCTTTACATAGGCAGAGCCAGCTGTCACTCACGCAGCCGGGCGGATCCCGGCACAATTGTCGGGATCCGCTTCAGCTGCGGCGTCTCAGTATACCGCGAGCAGCTGCTCGCGGTATACTGCGGCATCTCAGTAGCTCGCGCTATATTGAGCCTAGGGTGACTGGAGGATGCTAGTTTGTGTCCTCCCGTTACCCTGAGGAGAACTATGGGGAAAAGCCTTAACACCATAGTTCTCCTTTAATCCTTCATGGCATTGATTCAACAAGGTGATGAAAACATTCCTTAGAGAGCTTGGTCCATACTTACATGATAGCATCACACAGTTGTGGCAGATTTGTCGGCTGCACATCCATTTACATCAAATTCTGACCCGACCATCAGAATGTCGCAACAGAAATTGATACTCATCAGACCAGGCAAAGTTTTTCCAATCTTCTTTTGTACAATTTTAGTGAGCCCTTGCAAACTGTAGCCTCAGTTCCCTGTTCTTAGCAGAAGTGGCACCTGGTGTGGTCCTGATCTGCTGCAAGTTTCAATGTGTTGTGTGTTCAGAGATGGTATTCTGATTACCTCGAATGTAACAAGCAGTTATTTGAGTTACTGTTGCCTTTCTAGCAGCCTGAAACAGTCTGGCCATTCTCCTCTGACCTCTGACATCAGGAAGGTATTCTTGCCCAGAGAGCTGCCGCTCACTGGATATTTTCTCTTTTTGAGACCATTCTCTGTAAATCTGAGAGATGGTTGTGGATGAAAATCCCAGTAGATCAGACCAGATCTTCTGGCACCAACAACCATGCCATGTTCAAAGTCACTTAAATCACCTTTCTTCCCCATTCTGATGCTCGGTTTGAACTTCAGCAGACCATCTTGACGATGTCTACATACCTAAATGTTTTGCGTTACTGCCATGTGATTGGCTGATTGGATATTTGTGTTAACGAGCAGTGGAAGAGGTGTACCTAATAAAGCAGCCAGTGAGTGTATGTCAAGCCAAAACATTTTTTTAGTTTTAGATAGAGTAAGGAAAGATTAGAATCTCTATCTGGTTTTTACAGCTATCTGGTGCTCCGTTAGAGAGATTTTCCCACACTTACAGTGATGCTAAACTCAGGAATTAAATCTTAAAATTGCATTCAAGTACCTTGACCATTAACAGTCTATTACCAGCTTAAAGTGACAATAAACTTACGAGATAATATGTTATAAATGCATTTAAGTACCTTAACCATTAACAAAAATGTATCTTATTTGTGTATCACTCGGCTGTAGATCCTCAAATCATCTCTGAATTGGTGCCGACACTGTCCTTCCTTCTGGAGGGTGGCTACTACTATTCCCCTGGTGCTGGTGTGTGTTATAAAGTAGTCACCGCACCAAGCTCGCTCCTGTGATGGATTATAATATCACATTTAGTTTACTAGTTTTGTATTGAAATTGTAGTCCATCACAGGAGTTAGCTTGGAGTGGTGACTACTTTACAACACACACAGGCACCATGGAACAAAAGTAGCCACCCTCCAGAAGGAAGGGCAGTGTCGGCATGAATTCAGAGATGATTTGAGGATTTACAGCCGAGTGATACACAAATAAGTTCCAGTATTGTTAATAGTTGAGGTACTTGAATGCATTTATGAGATATTATCTCCTGAGTTTAGTGTCACTCTAAGCTGGCTGTTAGATTTAATATGATAGATTTCTAATAGATCCCTCCATCCTTGTTAAATAGGGGTAGTGTGCTGCAGTGTAGAAGCGTACATCCTAGCGGTGACAGTTGATGGCAGTGCTGGAAGTGATGTAACAGCAGTGCTCACTCTAGGGAGGAAGTATTGAGTGGATCAATCCCCCCGTATGCTGCCTGTAGAGACATGTAACCCAAAGTGTGTCCCATTGTTCATACAGTAATAGTAAGTCTTCTCTTTATATATGCTTTTCATCTAAATTCCTAACAAATGTTTATTTAAGGGAACAGGAACCTGACTTTATTATGGTATTCAAAAGTGATTTCTCACAAATGTCACTGTTTCCAATGTAACACCTTAAACTTTCTTCCATGACAGTTTCTCACGTATGTGTAGGGTCTGGCTATTAGGAATAGGCGCAATCTGTACCTAGACCATAATGTGCTGAGCTGTAAGAAGAAGGAAAAGCGGTGCCAAAAGACCAAACACTACCCTGACTCCAAGAAGTTATGGCAAAAGCAAAGACCAGAAAGTCATTCACAATCTTATGGACATCTGCTTATGTGTCATAAAGTTAAATATGCACAAAGAATAAACGTTACACTTCTGTTCTTATACTCACATGTTTGTCTGGGATTGGCTTGGTCATTAGTGATACACCCAGAACGATGATGCTGGTTGCAGTAAAGAGAATAATAGCAAAATACAGATAATGCACTTTACAGATAATGTCTGGACATTTGCTTGGTTTCAGACATGTTCCAGTGCCAAAAGCAAATTCAGCGATCATCCGCGACAGACCAATTAACAATCCAATAATTAATCCCCAGAACGCTCCCTGGTTAAAAAAATGAAAAATTGATTAAAGATTTAAAAACCCCAAAACAGCTGCAAAAAAATAACACTGTTGGTTTTTTTATATACACTCTTCTAACTGTGATGGTATCAAAAGACACAATGTATGATGAGATCTCCGCAATTTCATCAGTTCTGACAATAAGGCTTTATGGAGAGCACATTATTGGGTTACCAGATTTGATGAAATATAAATATACAAGTTGCCAATTTTCAGTTGACCCTCCGCTCTTTCTTTCTTTCAGTGCAGGGGTAAGCATGTTGTTTCAGCTCACAGCACATGCCTGCCTGTATTTTAAGTATTTGGCTCTTTATGGGTAGCTAAAGTCTCATGTGTTCAGGTAGGTTTATGGAAGATAGGAAGCACAGTGGCATATTGGTTAGTGCTTCTGCCTTGTAGCACTGGGGGTCCCTGGTTTGATTCCCGGCCAGGTCAATATCTACAAGATGTTTGAATGTTCTCCCTGTGCTTGCATGAGTTTCCTCTGGATACTCTGGTTTCCTCCAACACTCCAAAGACATGCTGGTAGGTTAATTGGCTTCTGTCTAAATTGGCCCTGGGATAGGGACCTTAGATTGGGAATGTGCCCTATGTGAAGCACTGCGTAAATTGTCTGCGCTATATAAATACCTGTAATAAATAAATAGGCAAAAGAGGCAAATATGTTGAAATGGTCCTGAACTTAAAAAGTGAAGATTTACTATCTCTAAAGAATGCATTGAAGTGTTAATTGTGCCCATAAAGATTTACCTTTTGTCTTGAATTACCCCCGAGAAATAGCAGTTCACTTCCTGCACCTAGACACTTCTGTGCCATGAGCCTTATAGCTTTATATCTGGAGTGAGATTTAGTTATGCCACTACTGTGCTGCTCACTGTTCTTCTAGCTGGAACATAAACCGTATCTGAGGACCTATAGCAAACCCTAACTCAATGATGATAAGATTGCTAAAACCCTGGGTATCATACATAACTGCAATTTTTTTCTTTTATAAAATACAATTTTCAACTTTTTCCTTCTTCTTTTGCTTCTTGGTGCTGCAGCTTTTTTCCAGCCTCATTCAGTCACTTCCTGTCTACATGCGTGTGCTCCAGCAATAGCTGAACATCATTGTTCTGACTACGGCCTATTATGTGTAAGTGTTAATACAGCCATTTGCTGGGGTTAATAAAATAAAGACACATAGGCTGTTCACTTTGCAAAAGGAATTTTCATATTGCATGGAAATGTTCCCTTAGCTTAGTGAATAAGGTGAAGTTCTGCTGACTTCCATCATCCAATCATGTAAAGCAAAAATACTGTTTTTATTTTCCTTGCACATGATTAGGTATTCTTTGTAAACTGAATTTGCACTACATTCACCAAGGTATGGAAAGCTTCCCTTGCAAAGTGAACAGCCTATTTGTCTTTAGTAAATCAGCCCCCACGTCTCCATTAAAAGAACATTATCACATCATAACAGGAAGTGCCTGAAAAAGACCTTCACGGCAAGATCACCAGGTATTGTTTTAATGAAAGCTGCAGATTTAGAAAGGTTGAAAATTACTTGTGAAATGGCAATAACATTTTAAAGATTATATGAGACTTTAGTGATTGGGTTTAAATCTGCTTTAAACAAGCCACAAAATAACTGATATTATTCCTGTATTTTCACCATTAATAATTCTTTCCACCTGCTAACTAACCTGTTCATTAACTCTCTTGACAAAGATAGCCAGAAAGAAGACAGATGCAATAGGAGGTCCCAAGTAGCTGGTCACGGACTGTATGTAATCAAACAACTGTCCGCTCTGTGCTGACTGCAGAATGGGGATCCAGGCAATGCTCACTCCGATCAGGACCAGCATGAAAAGTCTACAAAGAAATTTCACAATGAAACAAACACCTGCACACCAATGTAGACACATACAGACATCCAACACAGAAAGATTACAATGCATCTGTCAGCTGGAAATAATCGCACATTACCAAAACATGTGATTAGATATGCATGGTCAGTGCACCAAGAGTGGCCATAAATGTCAGATTTGTAAATGAGATTGATGGATGGGAAGCTATCGGGCTGTGATCAAATGAGTCCCATAAGTATTAGGGCCAGCTCAATCCTTGATTTATGCTTACAGCAGGACATGCTGCATATTACTTTGATCCACCTCTGCAAAGCAGTAGATGAAAGAATCAGGCCTGCTCACAGATATATTTTCCAGCGAGTCAGAAGATCTAACTGTGCAATGAACACCTCCAGCTGCTGGAGGCACTCATTATTCCTCTCTAGGAGTTCAGAAAAGACATGATAATTGTAAAACAATGCTCAAAACATGGAGAATTGCTTGCAATTATCAGACCATCTGAGGCAAAAATAAGAACATAATAATAATAATATCTTGTCTCTTATGCCAGTGTTACAGATAATTTGTCCAACATTAATTCATATGTTTACATCTGCCGGAAAGTCGGTATAATTCGGAAAGATATAACCATTTTCAACGATCAATTACAGTATAAACATTCCTTGCTGGTAAATGCCTGTCAGCCTTGAATGATCGCCTACAATGATATAAAGTGAAAAAATTTGCTATTTTTAAAGTAAGTAATAACATAAAATTGTCCAGTAAGTGAGTTTAGGGCTGTAAAGTTTAACAGATCCATACGAGGTAGCAGTGGTGGCCTAGTCTTTTAGAGTATGACCAGCTTACAGTCACAACGTATTTGGCAAACTAAATCAATTCCCAGAAAAGTTACAAGAGTCACTCACCTTCCTGCTATCATCAGCTCCTTCTCTGATGCCTTCTTGCGGATCTTAGTATAAATGTCCATAGTGAACAAGGTGCTGGCACTATTAAAGATGGATGTTAGGGAGCTCATGAGAGATGCCAACATTACAGACAACATTAAACCTCGAAGACCTGGTGAAACAATTCATATTCAGTGAATACCAATGCTGAAACCAAATCTGGAGAAAATAATTTAAAGATAGATACATGTCAGGTATATGTTCTTTTTTTCCTCTTGATCCTAAAACTAAAACTTTTTGGAATTCCAATTTCCCCTGAGGTTTTGCTCAATTTACTGTATGGTAACCATCCATATATCAGCCATCAGTACAGTGGTGATTAGGATTTGTGATATCTGACCCTTATAATCAAGGAATTCAGAGACTGCTGGTGACATGTCTCCCATATTAAACACTACAGAGCTCATATGAGGATGCAGTACACTTGGGCAAGGTTACTATATGGTGACCTTACACTACCACTACTTCAATCACATATATTTTCACTTATTGTAAATGTGCATCTACTGGATGTACTTAAATAAAAGAAGCAGAATTAACTTGCATTGACTATAGCAGATACAAGAATGAGTACAGATAGCAGCAGTCATCACATAGATTAGCTGTTTTGACAATGTTTCTCATATATTGCAAACTCAAAATGCAGTGCATTTGTGCGAGTGATCTGCTCTTCATACAGACATCTGATTAAAAGAAAAGCCTTCCTTTTAAAGAGTTATTTCACCTTTAATGACATTTTCAAAAAAGCCATATGCATTACAGATGTGATCTAACATAAAAAGATGTCCTCCATTTTTAAAGAACTATGGGGTTAGGGCTTTTCCCAATAGTTCTCCTTAGGGTAACGGGAGGACACAAACTAGCGTCCTCCCATCACCCTAAGCTCAGTATACTGAGACGCCGCAGTATACCGCGAGCTACAACTCGTGGTATACTGAGACGCTGAAGCGGATCCCGACAATTATGTCTGGATCCGCCCAACTGCGTGAGTGACAGCTGGCTCTGCCTATCTAGAGGCAGAGCCTGCTGTACCCGCCCCCTCCCCCGTCCGTTCCGCCAGTCAGCGCTGGAGGATCGAAGCGGGGAGGGGGGAATGCAGCCACTCCCCTGTCACGGCAGAGAGCTGTGGCAGGATCGAGAAGTGAGCAAACACCGGCATGTGTTCGCTCACTTCCTGATCTACTGAGCCGACCTGTGACAGTCTCATTGTCACAGGTCGGCTAGAACTATAAGGTGAGTGAAAAGCACTCACCTCATAGTTCTCCTTTAAAGCTGCTTTAACGCTTGCCTCCCGCTCTCCATACTGCCCAGGCAGGATGGAATGAAAATTGTATGAATGGCCCCAGCCCCTCACAAGCATGTGCCTACGAGTACTCATCTTGCCTAACCACACATGTGCAATGCACACTCTCTCGCAGGAGCTGAGCATTGTGCATGAGAGATGGACTGTGCATGTGTGGATAGGCAAGCCGAGTTCTCAAAACCAAGTGCTTGTTCATGAGGCGCTGCTGCCACGCATACAACAGTCAGCCCATCCCACCATCTAAGCATCTAAGCCATAGAGGACAGCATTTTATGTCAAAGCCGTAATTCATCCCTCAATAACAGAGCAAAGGAAATTGGTGTAAAAATTATTTTAACCAGTTAGGGAGCACTGTAACAGTGGAGAAGTTGAATCTAGTTCATGTAATGTACATGCATTATATTCTTTTTACATCTGTTAAGTTTGCTTTGGTTCTTCTGTGGCTGACACACTTAAAGTAGAACTGTGGCCAGGCTATGGAGGTGCAAATATTTTACTCATTCTTAACAAGCAGTGCATGAGTTTGAAAACAAGCCCTCGCGGACCACTGGAGCTGCAGGCACTGTGGATCAACGAATTTTTGAATTTGACAATAGAAACAGAGAAGTCATCCACGTGGGGTCTATGAACTCTGCTCTCTCCCTCCCAGCATTCCTGCTCTGCATCAATATTACAAATTAGAAGGTTGCAAGGCTGCCAAATCACTGTTGGCAAGCAAAATGAACTGAGCTGTTAAACATGAAAGTGTTGTTGTAAAAATGTAAGGATGAATTATACCCCAATGTCTGCAGCTAGGTCAGTGAGGGCTTGTTATAAAGATCATGCACTGCCTTTTAAAATTATGTATTTGAATGTTCATAGCCTGACCACAGTTCTACTCTTATCTTGCATGGCAAATGTAATTATCACCAATGTCTTACCGTCTGGCATCAAATCAATCACCAACTTTGGGTAAGCGATATTTGTACATCCAACTTCAGTACCACAGTATTCTTTACACTTCTCTGGCAGCACACAAGCTATTTCATCTATGGACAGAAACAGTGGACATGTAAGCAGCTATGTCTGTCGGTAAAAAATGATTATTAATCAAAGTCCTAAGTAATTGCTTTACTTGTGTAGAGAATGCGGCTTATCATTCCTGGGAACACCATCAGGAACATGGGTAAAAGTTTAAGATATCCACACAGCACACAGCCGGCCTTGACATGTGACATGTTCTTGGCAGAGAGACATCGCTGAACTATTACCTGATAGAAGAAAACACATTTTTGTGGATTATGTATTACTTCTATTATTAGTATAAGAACAATATTTGTGTTCACCACTTATTACCTGATCTGTACACCAGTACCACAAGGCTAGGATGGTCAGACCAAAGATAAGACCAGGCCATGGCATATCTCCTTTGATTGGATCCCGGAAAAGATGGAAGGCATCTTCACGAGGGGTGTAGCATTTTGAATCAACTTGTGTGCCATTTATATCTGTAACCTCAGTGGGAATGGCCTTCATGTATGCGATCATAAAATTTTCATATCCTCCAACCTTATTGAATGCTGAAGAAACAAACTTGTGTATAGTAATAACATAATATCAGGGGTGACTATAAGCTTTGTACAGAGGTTAGAAAGAAAACAGGTACAGTAGTTTTCAATGGGGTTAAGGTCTGGACCAAGTGGTGGCCAATCCACACGTGAAAATTATGTCTCATGCTCCCTGAACCACCCTTTCACAATTTGAGCCCGATGAATCCTGGCATTGTCATCTTGGAATATGCCTGTGTCATCAGGAAAGATAAAATCTACTGATGGAAAAACCTGCTCATTCAGTATATTCAGGTTGGCAGCTGACCTCATTTTTTGGACACATAACATTGCTGAACCTAGACATATTATCCAATGGAAGGCTCTTACCTGCTTGCTTAGCTAAATCCAGGCTGTGACTTTTGTTTTAACAGGCAGTGTATGTGAATATAACATATTTTATGTATGTCATCTGCTTGTAAAAACCTCCTTTGTGTAGTCATCCCCGAGATTGCTGCTGGGCATTATCTTGAATGTTATGTCAGCAGCCCCAGCAGATTCAGAGCTGTCCCTCGAGGTGGCACTTTATAGTATTCTCCTTCACTTCTACCCCGGTAGCTTACGTAGAGAGGTTAGGGGAGGGGCAAAGAAGCTGGGCCAGCACAGAATGTATTTGGACATTCCATTAGGAGGACAGGACTTTAACGTGTAAGAAATGAGGGCGCTGGGCTAGAGAATTGACTCTTCCTGAAGTAGTCAAATTTGCAACCAAGTTCAGGAAAATCACTCCATTTAAAAGCCTTGCTTTTCCTGTGCTTTTAACAGCAATTTTCAATTTGGCAACAGGGTTTCTTTAGCCTGAACTATAACATTTAACTCCTCATTTTACATGAAAAAAAATTCTATCCCTAACTTTAAAGTGTAATAATAAGCAAAGTAAAAAATAAGATATCTGATTCAACTTGTCACTAGCAACAAGGCCCCTTTCGCGTGGCTGTTCCGATCAGATCCACCTGTCAGTTTTTCAGGCGGACCTGATCAGAAGCTGGTAGGCAGATGTAAATGGACATACATCTTTAAGTCCCCTTGGGTCCGAAAAAAAAACCATGGAAAAGACTTACATGTCAATGTAAATTGACAAACATCTGGCTGACCATGGACTTACCATGGGCCTGTTTACTTCAGTTTTAGGAAAATACTGAAAGAACAAAAGTAACATCCACACTGCTCCAATTATATCTGTGCATGGATCCCCTGCTAATCAGCGCTGACAAGCGCCCAAGTGAAAGGGGCCCAACACAGTAGGCCTTGTTTTTTTTAAGCCCCCCATAACATAGTTTTATTACCTGATGATTCTGATAATAGATCCCTAATTCTTACACTTACAGTACTTTAAAAGGATTACAACACTGTTGGTTCTGCTGTAATATCGCACAGTAGCGCTGTCAACTTATGGACAGGAAAGTCTTAAGATAAACACGTAGTTTTAAATAGATGTTAAGTGACTTCTGGTCTATTTACAAGTGTCAGGCATAATAGGATGTGGGGATAAATTCCCAAATTGAGGACATAGGCAGCAATAGAAACATGGTTTCCGACAAATTTGGGAAGTTTGAAGGACCTTTATCTGGATATTTAATTTAGGGAGATTTTCTCTTGCCTTGTGCTAGGTGATGGATGTCAGATAGAGCAGGAAGTGAGGAAGGGGCCTGTGTTGATGGGATTTGGACTTGCGTCAATGAGCATATGCAGCTTGCTTTCAGCTGCATTTCGTTCACATTTGCGTTATGTTTGAGATGCATCTGAGATCAATGTAAAGGAGAACTATGGGGTAAGTGTTTTTCCCCATAGTTCTCCCAAGGGTCACGGGAGGACATAGACTAGCGTCCTCCTGTGACCCAAAGCTCAGTATATCGCAAACTACAGCTCGCGGTATACTGAGACCGCCGCAGTCGGGACAGATCGCGACATTACTGTCGTGATCCACCCAGCTGCGTGAATGACAGCTGGCTCTGACTATCTAGAGGCAGGTACACTGCCCCCTCCCCAGTCCGTTCCTCCAGTCAGCGCTGGAGGATCGGAGGGGGGAATCCTTGCAGGGAGCCATGACTGACAGTCACGGCTCTCTGCAGGGACATGATCGAGAAGTGAGCGAGCGATCTATTGAGCCGACGTGTGACAGTTTCATTGTCATACGTCGGCTCGAACTATGAGGATGAGTAAAAATCACTCACTTCATGTCTGGATCCACCCAGCTGCATGGGTGACAGCTGGTTCCGCCTATCTAGAGGCAGAGCCAGCTGTACCCGCCCCCCTCCCCCGTCCGTTCCGCCAGTCAGCGCTGGAGGATCGGAGGGGGGAGGGGGGAGTCCAGCCCCTCCCCTGTCACGGCAGAGAGCCGTGACAGGATCGAGAGGTGAGCGAACGCCGGTATGTGTTCGCTCACTTCCCGATCTACTAAGCCGACCTGTGACAGTCTCATTGTCACAGGTCAGCTAGAACTATGAGGTGAGTGAAAAGCACTCACCTCATAGTTCTCCTTTAAAGTCCATCTCCACCTTTGTAAGCAATTAGCATTTGTTGTGGTTATGAGTGTGTACATTATCATGATTCACATTGCTGGCTTTCTTCATTTGTTTATGAACTTATCATTAGGCCTGAATTCAAGAAATTTAAAATGTTCTCCACAGGAAGCACAGCCTGACTCTGGGGTCGGATTGTAAAGCAGGCTGTAAACAGCTGCCCCCCTTCCTGTGATTCTGTGTAACACGATCACTAAACACCAGATCTGCCTTTTCACACAATACACTGTCCGGGGGGGTATTGCCACTACGAATACTAATGCATAATGAATGGGGGGAGAGAGTTGTAACTTACACAGATAGCTTGCAAAACACAGTGGCAGCGGTTTCCATGAGGATATGAAGAGGAAAGCTAACAAAAAAATTACGTTTCTGTGTTGATATACAGCAACTGTATATGCCTACTTCATGTTCACTTGGTGTACATTGCTGGAATATGTTTTCTTAAAAGAACCTCCGCAAAGGTGAAAATGGGCATTATGTTTAGTCTTCTCTATAATTTCTCTGTAGAAAAAGGTATGATCATGAAGCCATCAGAATTTAAAGCCAAAACATTTTTAAACCCTTTAGGAAAGGGTTAAAAACATTTTATTTGCTACACATACACTTTAGCATTGCATATGTTAGCTTGCTGACGGTATGACATATGGCATTTACAACAGTGGTGGCAAATCTATTGTCTTTTTCAGTTTTTGGTAAATGTTTATAGCAAGGCAATATTTATAACCTGTTCACATATTGAACAGCTATGTGAATGAGATTCACAGTGCATTAGGGCCACTGGGTGGAGCCAAGAAGCATCGGGATTTCCTATGCTCCTTGGCTCCATCTAGTGGCCCTAATGCACTGTGAATCTCGTTCACATAGCTGTTCGATAAGCGAATAGTTTATAAATCACTCCTCTAGTCTAGCACCTAAGGCAATTAGAATATAATTGATATAAGAGCAAGTGAAATCCCCCTTTCTCACAGACTCCCTAAGGGTAAATAGGGCAAACTACTGTGTCAAAAAAAACATAAGTCAAATTTCACCATACAATGGTAAGCTGCAGAGCCAACACTTAGGTCTGTCATACTAAGACCACTTATGGGCATTGAGAGATCAGCACATCTTCACTTACACTGATCACAGGTAGTATGTGGTGGTTATCATTCTGTAGTAAATCTCTAATTATTTGCTGGTAGTGTAACAGACTGGAAACATTGATCACAAATATCAGATATGTATGGCAACGCTAATGCAAAAAAAAAAAAATGCTTAAAAGAGAAGCCTGTTTGATGAAGCCTTGTGGTCTTATGCAGAAGTTGCTACCTCTCCAACATCCCCACCATATATTTTATGCATGGTGATATACTGTAAACTTACCAAAGCCCATGAGGATGAAGGATCCAACAAGCATGATGATAGTCTGTAGAGTATCTGTGTAGATAACAGCTGCCAAACCGCCTGCAAGAGAAAGATATAGTCCATCAGATATGGGCCCATCACTAGGAAATATCTATACCAGGGTACACACAATACATGAAAGTCAAAGTAGGTATAAGGGGATGTGGAGTGGACTTTTATGTCAACAACATCATAAAACTAACATTCATTCAAAAAATAAATGAACTACTTGAAACCCACTGTATTGGAGTGACGCACCCGCTCCCCTTAGCACCCAACACTAGCCAAAACCCAGGATTCTAGTGCCAGCTGCACCTGTGGCTGTCTGAATACCAGTACAGTAACTGCACCTGTTAGGATGTAGTCACGGTTCAGCTGACAATTTTCCACCTGGCTCCTTCAATCTCTCAATCGACTTCTAAGCTACAGCAGGAACTGGCTAAAATCCAGGCAGTGTATGGCCAGCTTTACTGCTGGCAATGGAACAATGTAAAAGAGAAATGGGGTAAACAATGGGAAAAAATGAACCACACAAGGATCATCAAACAGAGTGCAAGATGAGGTGGACAGCTTTACAATAATTACATGCAGCTTGTTTGTTCTATGTTTGGTTTTGTTTGGGAGCATATAATGCAATAAATAGCAATACTTGGCAATAACAGTAAAAACAATAGATTGTTTCTATAAAGAGCTAGTGTATGTTTCCAGTAGTCAAAACCGCAGCCTGAGCATTCCTATGAAAATAATTAGATTGTGGAGTTTCTCTTTTGATCCCTTTTTTCTATAAAGTGCCACTAAACTCAGGAGTTAAACCTTTATGCCTCATTCACACGAGTAACAGCCGGCCCGTACAGATCCGTGCTGTGTGTATGGCCGTATCAGGCCACTCCCAGGAAGGACAAGTGCTGCGTGTGAGTTGTACGCACGGGTGTCTGTACTTGTACGCTGACAGGATGAATCCTGTCTGCGTCCAATCAGGGACTCCTGCACCCGAAAGGACGTGCAGTTCGGGTGAGTGTAGGGGGGCGTAGGGCAGCGTACTCCCATAGAGAAGAACAGGCTGCTGCGTACAAATCACACGCAACACCTGTCCTTCCCGGGAGCGGCACGATACGACCGTGCACGCAGCACGGAGCTGAACGGGCCGGCCGTTACTCGTGTGAATGAGGGCTAAAAATTAATTCAAGTACCTTAACTATTAACAAAAATTTATCTTATTTATGTATCGCTCAGCTGTAGATCCTCAAATCATCTCTGAATTGGTGCTGACACTGTCCTTCTAGAGGTTAGCTTCTTTTGTTCCCCATGTTGTAAAGTAGTCACCGCTCCAAGATCACTCCTATGATGGACTACAATCTCAGATTTAGTTTACTCAACCTAATAATAATTTGTATTGATATTGTAGTCCATCACAGGAGTGAGCTTGGAATATGGTTACTTTACAACACACACAAGGACCATTGGGAACAAAAGTAGCCACCCTCCAGAAGGAAGGACAGCGTCAGTATGAAGTCAGAGATGATTTGAGGTTCTACAGCCGTGTGATACACAAATAAGATACATTTTTGGTAATAGTTAAGGTACTTGAATGTATTTTTAAGATCTAACTCCTAATTTTAGTGTCACTTTAATCTATAGTTTTGTTTTCCCCATTTAATCTCACGAAGAAACATCAACAGGTCTTGTCATCATTCATAATCAATAGGATTCACAGAATAAACAAATAATTTTGTTGACCCAAAAGGATTAGGACACTGGTCTGTTATGGAGTGTTTGGAACATTTGCATCCAGGATACACAACTTTCATGAAGCAGTCAGCACACATGTGACCTTTGTGCATTTTTAAGGCTCTATTATTTTATGACAGGTTAATGTGATAATGTGTTTTGTGTGATATGCGCTCATTTCAGCTATACTTTCTCCTTATCACTTCTACAGAATGGTGCCTGAGTGAACATTTCATTTGTTTTAAGTCCCTAGATACAGCTTTTCTTAGTTACGTGTTTTCTACTTTATAACTGCCACACAGCTTTAATTTAATCCTGGCAGGCAAATAGCCAATACCATACTCACTGCTAGAAAAGAACAGGAGATTGGTACATAGGTGAGACCATAAAGAGGTACTTACGTAAAATGGGAATAATTACAGTCATACATAACGTGCCCGTTAATTGCACAATTGTCAATATGGAAAGCTTAAGATAAGACTTTTATGTAAAATTTATAGAATACACTAGAGTATAATGCATTCAATTCAATGCTTGCTAAACATTGGGGATAGACAAACAAAGCCTCACCCACCAAACATGATTGCATTCAGTAAGACTGCTGCAATGTCAAAGATAGGCTACCAATCCCCTCCCTAATTTTGCTTTTTAACAATAGGTTAGGTTAATAAAAGAATGATGAGATGGAAACAACTGTATGAGATGTCTGAACTGCCACAAAAACAGTCTGCTTTGTTCATAGCATCCAATTAGATTGTCCTGTTCATGCTCCCATGGACAATGGAAAAGAAAAGGAAGTTAGTTGCTATGGCCAACATTGAGTGAGGTGGCTCTTTCCTTGGACACATTCATAAAGGTGGACTAAGGGCTCACTGGTAAAACCAGATATCAGGATCCACTTGTAGAGTCAATTACATTAGGTATGCGCATATTTTACACTGCAATAAATGAAATATATCTATGCAAATATGCCACATTAGTCCAGGATTGAATAATTCTTCAGGATGCAGTACAGTATCAGTATGCATTATATACAGTAATTCTTAAAACTAGGACAGCAATGGGACATGAAATCTGCTGAATCCTTAAAGGGTACTTCTGTTCTAGATGGAGAATAGGGTCAAATACCCGTTGACAAGAATTTTCCATAAAATCCATGTAGATGTGCCCATATTTCAGTAAGCTGCCAGAAATATGAAAAATGGCAAAATGCTGGAAAATGCTGACAAAAGGGATGTAAATATAGTGCACACATGCTTGTTAGAAATATTTTCTACTTAGAGGGAATGTACAGAGCTATAGTATATGTATATGTATATATATATTGTGACATAAGGAGAGGGGACATCATTGAGGGGCGGTATGTTTCCCCTCGCTTTCTATCCTATGTGCATGAATAGCGGAACCCTGACCACGCTTTCGTTGCCATGGGTTAGGACATATTGCTGCTAATTCTCCATTGACGGATGAACCTATGCAATGTGATTATGCTATGTTAGAGCTACATGTTGGATGTGTTCAGAGAGAAAAAGAACTTTGCTGCCTGGACTGTTTTTCCCAGGGAAGGTGATCCCCCATTCGAGCTTTACCCCCACAATATATATATATATACATACAAAGCTTAATAGCATAAGCTACAATATGCACACACCTCTCCCCTCCCTGCTTTAAACTGGCCCCGAGCGGTTTCAATCAGAGAAAGGGAGTCTGAGGGCCTGTTCACACAACGTCCGTTTTCTGTGCTGACCTGATCCGTACGCTCCTGCACTAAAAATGCATCTCAATGTATCCCTATGTGTTTTATGGGCTACAGTTCTCACATGCGCAGTCCGTTCAGGTTACAACAGAAAAATACTGCATGTCACATTTTGTACGGTCAGGAAACGATCCGGAAACACAAAACACATCAAAAATGCTTCAAAAACACACTGCACTGCAGCTAACATACTGACAGCCCCACTCCAGCAAAAAAACCAAAAACATTTTTTTTAACTGGAACGCAGCAAAAACGCGGCAAAACACATAGCACCGCATCTGCAGATCCGCACCTGATCCGGACCTGATCAGGACCTGAAACTCATGTGAACAGGCCCTGAAGGCAGAGAGCTTCTGCTGTACTGTCTCCTTAGAAAACCCATAGTGCACTGGCATGGGCAGCTATGTATTAAATGTTTCTTTGCAAAACTAAGCATGTGTATAGGCAGTAGACAATATAAAACATCAATTCAAATATTATCAACTGTAAAATAAAATTGTCCCAGTAGGTTACAGTTTTCCTTCATAGTATAAGAAAAAGACCCACCTGTCACAGTGTACACAGCAGTGATTAACAGTAGCATTACAATGGCTATGTAGATATTGATTCTCATGGCTTGCTGGATAAAAATGCCTCCGGAAAACATATCTGCCTGAAAGAAAACATGTTGTAAAGTAAGGATGAGAATACAATGAGTTACAACTCCATAAAAACTCCCACAATCCTCCCACACGATATTCTGTTTACCTGCAGCTGCACCAGCAGCTGGATGTAAACAGCAGGCAGGTGCCTGATATCGGACGATTCCCTGTTTTTGTTTTTTTGTATTCTGACAGTGGCCACTGTCAGAGGAGACCTGAGAACTTCACGTCCTCCTCTGCTGATTGACAGCAGCAGTGGGCGGGTGCAAAAGCCAGCCTCCTATTGGCTATTTCAAACTGCAATAGCAGCCTAGCTGTGCCGCCCCAATAGGGGCATAGAATATGAGATGCATAGCCTCAGTTAATATTAGCATTGTTATATAGGTTAGAATTTATATAGTGTGATTTGCCAAACTATTTTCTCATAGCTAAATTCATGTGTTATCCTATGCTGCCATCTAGTGGCCTTTTGTTGTAATGTACATGTTTTTCTGTAATTATTCCTCATGTGACGATGTATTTTCCCCTAGTGTACGCCCCTTCCTGCTTCCTGTGTGCAGTACTTCCTGTGTCATGGCCACAGTTAAGAGCCACATGTAACAAGGACACACATGTAATCTGCACAGTATGTAGGAAAGGCATCATTTTCTGACCGCACAATACTATAACCGTTCAACTGCTGTTCCTATCATCTGCTGTAACCCTGATGTTAAAGAATAAACACCTCTTTTGAATGAATCGGTATTGACGAGTTCAGCTATCTGACGAGGATTGTCCGCAGTGAGTATATCTGCTTATACAGGCCAGGCATAGAGGCCTCAGCAAGGGATATATTTCGCTATCACAACGATCGGAGTCAGAATACTAGCTATTCATTCCCATGCTATTTGTTGTTGTTTTTTTCTTTACTCTGATGGCAGCCGGCAGCCACTATCAAAATAATGGAAAAAAAAACACAGCAGAATCGGCAGATAGCAGGGGGAGCTAACGCTTCCCCTGCTATCTGATGTTTTTTTATTTGTATTCTGACAGCGGCCACTGACTGCTGTCAAAATACTCGAACAGAGACGACAGCTAAATGGCTGCTGCCTTCTGACCTGCTCCTCGATCAGCTGATCGAGGGATTCCGGACAGAGATCGGCACCCAATGCGCAAATTTCGACCGGTTCTCCAAGAACCAGCTGAAATTTGTACAGTGTTTATTATCGGTAATATCGGTCACTTTGACCGATACCGATATTTAGAAAATATGTAAATATCGCTCTACCCCTAGTACAAATCCCATATGCAAAGCTTTTGATTGCTCCTCTGACAACGAAGATCCCATTTCTCTAGACAAGCAAATTCACTAGATAATACATGCTGGGTCACATCATGTGGCATTGGCTTATTTTTTTCTTTATCAATGACCTGGCCGACTCAAGTTCTGATGCATAGATCTGAAAAACTGCAATAGTTTCTGCTCCGCAGACAGGGTGTTGCAAAACCCCATAGTGCTAGTTTCTACCATGCAAAAGGAAATCTGTACTGAGAGACATAACATAAGTAGTGGCGGTGGAAATTGTCATGAAAGGTCTTCTGTGTAAGAAGAATTTCTGGACTGGATCCCAATTAAAATACTGCCAAAGAGTAAAGACTTATTTACGATAGATAGATGGATGGATAGATAGATAGATAGATAGATAGATAGATAGATAGATAATGCAGGCAAAGATTAGCCTCTTTGACATCCTGAGCTCTCTCATGGTCTAATACTGGGCTCAAACAGTGGACATCGCCCAGATCCCAGCACCAGCCGGGCCCACACCTAGAATAAATCACAGAGGGCTCTTGTGTAGCTGCACAGTGTGTCCACATTTGGTATTTCGGCTGCCATAACTTTCCTGAAATTCTGAAAATGCCTAGATGTCATGCTGATCCAGTGGCTTTAATAGCTTCTGAGTTACTGCCCCAGAGTAAGTACGCAGATCAGGAGTTGTGACTTCATTTTGACTTTATTGACTACATGCTTGTTTCAGGTCAGTGACTCAGGAAGAACTAAGGCCACCCACCTAGCATTTCATAAAGAAAGTTGTTCACTCAGTACAAGTTTCCTTTGAGAGAGACAACCACCTTTTAGTCCCTTCCAATAACAAACTGAAGGGGTATGCTCACACATTAGCCACTAGTATGGACCACCCACAGATGAAAGAGAGCAGTCAAAAAAAATTTCCATTTTTGAAGCTTTCAGTGTTTGTCTGAAAAATGTTAGCAGAACAATTTTTGGTATAAACCAATGTTGCTAGAAAATTATCAGAAGAACTATTATTTTTTTCAGCCATTTTCGTTCATACAAACCATATTTCCACATGTACTGCATTTTTCCCATCAAGAAATTTGGGAGATTTCCCCTCACTTTTAAGAATTCCTTTCACTTCCTGTTGAGTGTCTGGGGAAGGGAGTAAAGGGAAATCTCCCAAATGGGACACAGATAACAACAAGTAAACTGACATGGCTTTTCATTCTTCCCTATCCAAACAAAATAAACTTTTGGGTATAGATACAGTTTAAGCTAATAGGCCAACCATACATTTTATTAATTTCCTGTACTTGAAAGTACACTTTCAATATCACATGTCAGCTTTTTAAACATTCATTTTCTGTATAAAGGGAGAATCTGCTAGTCCATTTGGAGTGCACCATGTTTCTTTCCATGTTTCTGTTAATGATGTCTATCTATGAGATATTGGCAAACACTGCCAGTCATCAGCTATTGGGGAATCAGAAACTGGACACATTGTTATATCTTGCCTGACTGATGTTATTTCCCCTGATACGACAGTGACTGGTTGAGTCTGCATACCTGCTTCCCTTAACAAAAGATAACACCATCTCTTGACAAGTTAAGTGCTTATGTTCAATGAAGCATACCTGGGTGAAAGTAAATCATGCCTGTATATCCCATTGCCCTTCTGTGTCTATGGCTAACTTAAGTGCTAATATTGGCTGTAGCTTCATTATACAACCCAGAAAGTACATGAGCAAAGTATATAACTCACATTAGGTAAACAGATTAAAGCAGAACTCTGCGTAACATTTTTTTTATCAACCCTTGCAATGGGGCTCCCCACGCACTGCAACGGTTAAGTCCTTTTTTTTTCCTAGGATCAAAAATAAGAAAGTTATACTTACCTGATCCTCTGAGCCAGCTTGCTCTTAGGGCCCTGTCACACCATCAAGAGTGCGTTCCAGTGCATTCGACCTCTGGAACGCACTGGAACGCAACCCTGGCTGCCTCACTTTGTTTTGGGGCGGAAGGTGGCATGGCCGTCCATTGAACTCAATGGCACCGCAGCCATGCCCACTGCCTGCGGTGCGATCACCGGCACCCAGACATGTGGCACATTAGTGCCTGTGTTCCGGTCCAGTGCGATCTGCAAAAAATTATCTGCAAATGAGGCCGAACGCACTTTTGATGGTGTCACTGGGCCTTCAGACCGATCCCTTACACCTCCCTCTGCTTCAGCTATCTAAGGTCCATGAGTCATCACGTTCTATACACACTGGGGGGGAATCGATCAAAACTGTAACAGACAGAATCTGGTACATAGTAACCAATCAGCTTCTCTCTTTCATTTTCAAAGTTCAACTGAACAAACTGATGAGAGAAGCAGATTGGTTACTATGAGCATCTGCTCCAAATTCTGGCTGCTCTAGTTTGGATCTATTCCCCCCCCTGTGTAGGACATGAGCACGCAGAGGGAGATACCATCGATGCAGACAGGCAGGAGGGAGCGCTGTCTCGGAGGATCGGGTGAGTATACCTTTGTTATTTTTGACCCTAAGCATAAACGAGCAGTTAACCCTTGGAGTGCGGGAGTAGCCCCACTGTAACGGTTAATAACATTTTTACCCGAAGTTGTCCTTTAAGACTCTTTTTTCAGTAATTATTTACAGTCTAAATAGGATATTTACTAAGTGTCATCTAAAACATTAATTAGTTGCTTGTCAGTACTAGACAAATAGCACACCAATGACTGCCTGCTATCTTTGTGATGATGTAAATATCTAGATCAAGCACACACTGCAATGTTAACTAGGAAAACTATATCTTAACTCACTCTCAGTTAAGTCATTATTGAATTACTTCATTAAATAATCAATTATTTACAATTTAAACAGGATATTTAGAAAGCGTCAACACCCTAAACTTGCATCAATTGTCTTGTCAGTATTCGAAAAATAACACACCAATGACTGAATGCTTCTCTTGTGCTAATGTAAAGATCTAGATCATTAACTAAAAAAACGATAGCTTAACTCACAGAGATCTTAGTGAACACATAGAGCAGCAGTGAAAGAACAGAGAGGTAGACCCGTATCCGATCTCCACCAAAACGTTTCCTCAGGTACTCCGGCATTGTAACCACCTGGGAGAAAAACAATAACAGTGACCACAGGCTGAATGACACAAAGTTATACATTTCTATACATATGCCAGTATAATATTGCCCTGATGAAGAGACCCTGTGTGGCCCCGAAACATTGGCTATATCATGTTTGTGACATTACACTTCAATATATAAGCACAATGATTCATGCTACTACTGAAGTGCTGGTGATCTTCATCTTCTACAAGTACAATATTAGAAATAATTACTCAGAAAACACCAAAAACTTTAATCTGATGGATTTATGGTTATTGCCTAAAATATAATCACAGACAGCACTGAGGGGTCCCCATATAGGGAAAAGAGTGGCAAATTTATAAATTGAGACATTCCCAGAGTGCGACAGTACTCCAATTGTAATGAAAAACCAATCAAGAAAAAAAACCATCGGAGATGCACACACTGGCAATGAAACAATATTACACTAATCAATATCTATTATCGATACCAATTAATATCCATAAAAACATTTTATTTTTAAATCACATAAAAACACACCATCGCCTCTAATGTCTGAAATATGGGTCATTTATTGCATTTCTGCTTTACGTTAAATCACCAGATTAAAAATTAAATAACTCTAAAATCATACAGCAAGTTACAATATCCACAGGTACTCTAAATCTCACTTGGTGATGCAGTGCAAAGAGCAAAGCTTACATGAAAAGTGCAATCTAAAAAAATATCAGGTGATGACCATACATATGGTAATAAAACCAGGAAAAAACATGCATATAAGGGATAACCCTCTACATTCTCAGGGGCCATTCTGCATACTGCCATTGTCCTCCGCTTATACCACCCATTGTTGAAGCAATGTGCTGCCACAGACACGGCCACACAAGGGTTTCTGGGAAGTAGTGTATGGCTCAGAGCAGAAGCAGCAATAATAACCCCCTTCATTAGTGTCAGTGGCAACAGTAAGAACCCTTGGCATTGGTGTCAGTGGCAGCAATAATAAACCTCCCTCTTCATTGGTATTTGGAAGTGTGGAAAGGAAGCCCGGGACCCATTTTGTCATTCTCTTGGTGTTTCTCATCCAACACTAGTTAAGTGATCTGAATATGTGTGATCTAGCTGTCTGGTTCCACAATCCAAGGATCTCTACAGTATCCTTGACTCGACAGTGACCACAGTATATGTAGCAACTGAAGTGCCACATCAATTAAAATAGTCCAGATATAAATTTGTTCCATTAAAGAAGAACTCCGTTTTATGTGCTTGGAGTTGTTCTAAAAATATTAAATATATGGGGGTCAAAAACAGCCCTGACCGGTAAGCCCCTTGTGAGATTGGGAGCTGAAATTACTGCAGATTGCACCACTGAAATCCAAGACATAGGGAGTTATTCACAAAGCTGCCGAAGGCAGCCGAGTGAATAACCCAGCCGAAGCCAAACGATGTTCGGCTATTCACTTCAGTCTTGTATGGCTGATTTCAGAGGTACATCGGCTAAAACAGGCGTAGATCGGCTGTCTTCGGTCAGACGAACATGCTCTGCATGTTCGGCTAAGCCAAAGTGCAGAAGGAGTTCGACTCAGCCAATTCAACATCTGGATCGGCTGAACCATAGCTCAGGCAGCTCACTTGCTGCTGTTCGCCCCTATCCTCCGAGGTACCGAGCAGAATAGAAAACAAGTGAACAGAATGAAAAAAAAAAAGTTGAAAAATATTTTTAACATGTAAAAAAATAGGAAATTAAAAAATTTAATTAATATATTTTAAAGAAAAAAACAAATAAAAAAGAATTGTAAAAAAAACGCTGCACGCCAACCTGACCGCATGCAACGGACTCCCACCGCATAATAAAGCACCTGACAGATGCTGGCAAAAGAAAAACAATTGGGCGGAGCTAGCGGTACCAGCTAGTTCCACCCAACTGTTTCCTATTGGCCGTCACCTGCCAGAGTCTTCTAGCAGGTCCCAGACTAAGAATAAGAACTGGGTGGAGCCGGCCATGATGTCGCAGCCGGCTCCACTCAGTTGTTATTGTTTAATGAAAGATCAGCGTCCACAGGTCATTTTGGGAATGCTGATCTGTCATTACAACTGGGCGGAGAGAGCCGTGAGATCACAGCTGGCTCAGCCCAGCTGTCATTTGCGAGGAGATCGGTCAGCCCTTCGGCCGACTTTTCTCCACGCTTCGGCTGTCACTTCGAGCCAAAGCATATGCCTTCAGCTCGGCTGAGCCATTCAGCAGCCTTCCGCTGCTGTACGGGCTATTCACAAAGTTTGACTGAACCGAAGGGCAGAGGCGGCTGAACTGAGCCGAAGGATCAGCTGAATCTATGGCTGGATCCTTCGGCTCTTTAGAGAATAACCCCCATAGAGTATGACACCAGCACACCAAAACACCTTTTAACAGCTGTTTGACTATAATGGTTAGACAGCAATAAAGGAGGGGGTGGTAAGAATTCGTGGAGGTATGTCAGATCACCAGAAGTCTTGAACCCATCCAAAATAGTTTTATGTTCAGAATGAAAAGGTCAAAGTTTGCAGGAAAACAGTGTGTTACCAAGGGATCCCAAACTCTACTGAATCGGTTTTATAGCTCTGGCTTACTGATATTTTTGTAGAAGTTGCAGGTTGTTATGGTTTTTATTACATTTAATTTTGAATAAAAGGAAAAAAAAAGAAAAACAGCAAATTGGTTAAACATATAAAATACCCAACACACAATTAGCATTCTGGAAAGTCTAAAAGTCTAATAAAATAAAACCTCTCACCCCAGCTTTCACATAGATGGGTACAAAGACCCAGCCAAGAAATACCACTATAACCAGTGCCTGTAAAATAAAACAAAAAACATGTTAATAATATGCCTGAGCACTCCATCCTTTTCTAGATAGTGACTTTTCTTTTTGTTAAAAAAAGTCCTCAATATCTCAATACCTCAATATCTGCAGGAACTGTGGGGCAATAAGAAGCTCACAGCAGAAACACCAAAGTCCTTCAAGTTGTTGTCTCAGAAGCTTAACTCACCCTGCTTCCCCCTCCCAGCAGTGACTTGGCAGCCTGCCAGTCTACTGATTTTTAAGTTGGACACAGAGCAGGGGCTATTAAAATGGGAAGCACTGTGAACTTTGAGAATCAATTGCTCCTGAGTGCCTGAAAACACAGAGGTCAGCAAGGGCTTGATTTACAGCTCATTTACTTCTTAACAATATGTAAATACTTGAAAGTTCATAGTTTGGCCACCCGTTTACTTTAAGGACTGAATGTCTTACATTCAAAAAAGTCTTGTATGCGGTTTTAAAATAGCTGTTTTTGTTTTGTTTTTTTGGAGGGGAGGAGGGTGTGTTACTACATCAGCTTGTCTTTTTTCTTATTCATTTTGGTATATTCCTCTTTTCCCTTCTCCTCTTTTGGTGCCAGTTGGTACAGCCTTTAGCTAGACACTCCCTGCCTCTCCCTGCTGCTCGATTTTTAGTTTCATGTTCCTAGAAGACACAGGGTTTAGGAAGGACTGGAAAAGCAACCTTTGTATTTCACTTATCTGAAGTAACGCTACATTGGATTCAACTTCTGTGTCTCATTGAGAAGTTAAGCTGTCTGTGAATTTTACCAAGTCAGCAGGTGGCCATAGGAGGTATGTCATTGCATATATCAGCATTTGAAACAGAACAGGAGCTAAATAACAAGTACAGAACAATAAATAAATATGCTATCCATCGAAATGCCTGTGTAAAATGACTACTCACTACTTTTCAGGCTCCAGGTCAAGCTCTATTTTAACCCCGCACTATTCTCCATGATAGCAACTTCAGCTCCCACTGTTTCCCACATGACCGCCTTGCATTGTGTTCCCTGTTAATCAAAGCCTACACAATCTTTACAGCATGGCCCCAAAACAACAGAGTTTGGGTGCATGGGTTTATAGTGACTCCATGCACTACAAGGACATGGGAATGTTACATTTGTATTAAGAGGTTTTACTCAAAGTGATAACAGCCAAGTTAAACCATAGCATCAACTTTCATAGAGCTGCATGACTCCTTTATTACCAAAATATCAGCTTTATAAATGGTTGCTGCTTGTCTGCAGAATAGTTGTATTGTCCTGCAAAACCTCAAAACATTGAACTTAACCACTTCGGGGAGTATTTATAAAGAAGGGAATCTGACATTCACCAAACATTCTCTGTAGGTGCATCTTCCAGGTGCATGTGTTTTAAATGAAAGTTATTGATTTAACACCGATGAATGTTTGGTGAAAGTCACATTCACTGCTTTACATATATGTGTCTTTGAGTAAAGTCTCTGCAAATTACTGGTGTGCTGGTTTCTCCAATGCTGTGGATGAAGAATAAGGAAACTGTTAGTTCCTAGTAGGACACAGTGGAGCGAGAAGAGTTTTAAAAACACAGAGCAGAGCTGTAAAAAAAAAAAAAAGTAAGGCAACTGGACTTGCTGTATTTTTCTTCTGAATTGAGAAAACTAGTAGGATGATCAGCAAAACGTCTTAGAAAAAAAAATACAGCAAGCCCAGTTGCCTCGATTTCTTTTTTTTTAACAGATATACCATGACCTTTATAAATGAGAACCTTCACAGACACAGAGAGAAGAGGTTGCAAAGCTGTTATGAAGATATAAGGGCAATAATAGTAGGCTTTAAAAGGAGCATGCTAAGATAGACATTTGGGAGCTTCCTTTGCTGTCTGCTGTCATCCTCTACTTGATGTGACAAAGACTTGGAACAACATGAGTCTGCAGACACTTACTGAAATCCTTGAATATCTTGACTTTAACAATTACAGAATAATCTGAAAATAATTGGCTTAAGCAGACTAAGGGCAGGATATGTAGCACTCTGGACTTTAAAACACACCTGAAGTACAAAGGAAATTATCTGAGGTTTAAACTGATTTTAAGAGCAAATAATCCCTCATAAAGATCAAAGAACAAGGCGTAATGAATCAATATGCACTGTAACACAGTGTATGAATATGTGACTTCTACTTGTGCAATCATTACTTCTTGCTACTGTGAAACATGATTAATAACAGAGAAAGTTAAAGTGGCAGACAAGGGGGGGAAAAGGGGGAAAAAAGGGAAAACAGAAGAACAATGCAAGTAATAAATGCATAGCTAAGAGACACAGAGAAAGTAAGGATTATAAAGCAAAAGATGAGACAAAGTCATTGAAAATGGCAGCCATTGTGAGTGAATTGGTTGAAATAATAATGTGTTATGTGAATGTGTTTTTCTGCGAGCTTTTATTTCTCTTTCTGTTTCTCATGGATAATTCAAATTTATTTAGACGTTAGTGTGATTACTTATGTGGCTTACATAGTATTTTAGAATATAAAAGGGGTTGTTTTTTTTGGATTAGATACATTTTAAGTTTAAGCAATGCTGCAATGCTTTTAGCAAGGCTTCTAATACATGAAAAAAAAGTATAACTTTAACCAACCCAAACGCAGCCATCCTATAGCCATCCTACAGCCATCCTATGACCCCAAATGGTCATCACAAACATATAGGATGATTGCACACACCCAAATAATTATAGGATGATTGCAAACCCAAACAATATACATATCTCATTTGCTTCCTTTTCGTCTATTAAACCCACCATTAAAATGTTTTGTTATATCTGTTCAATAATTGCAATATCTGTTGATGCTGCCATAAATCCAGTGAGCTTGTAATTTCCTGTAGTGAGCTGACAACGCCATGCCTCTGAAGTCTGAAGCAGTGGTATCAGCCCTGCCCAGCTCATCTATGTGAACTACAGACCCCCCTCCTGGGGGGGGGGGGGGGTTTGTAGTCCAAATCGGGAGGGTGACAGTGCTTTGTAATGTGATCACACCAGCCAATTTTTGTTTTTCAGTAGACACAATTGTTTGGCTCTTAGTCAGGTGTATAAACTGAACACTGACCTGACTGGTACCTGAGAAACTTCCAGGCGATGGCTAAGCCATTGGCTGGGTCCCTACCAAGGAACGTAGTGTATGGGTCAAATAGTGTGATGTGACTCTTGAGACACTGGGGCACTGACAGGAGATTTTGCTATCTTGGGTTTAGTGTGGCTAGAGAAGCAAGGATAAACCTGCAACAATAATTCATAAACTGTTCCGTTGATTCGGTTATTTGTGTTCTGATGTTGTTCTGAGAATTTATCAGTTGTGTGTTTTACCTGTCGAATGCAACTAAAGACAGAAAGCATTCAGAACATTAGTTGTTGCTGTAGCGATCTCAGACAAAGACAACTCACTGGATGATTTCTGGGTCATTCTGGATAATTTGCAGATAATTAATTCTTGAAGCTATGGAGCTCCTGGTTGCCGATGCTACTCTTCAGAGACCACACTGTTCCCACTCCTCCAAAGACTCTGATGCAGTAAGAAAGGTACACTTCTAGTCCAAAGTGTGGATTTTCCTTTGGCTGGGCATGGATATATCATGGATATATAATCATGCCAAGCATTATCTGGGTCTGCCTGGTATCTCCTCCCAGTTGGATGTACTTGGCACAGCTCTTATGAAGCTTCCTAAGAAAATCTGCACAGGAAGCCCAAGCCACCTCAACTTCCTTGATTTTAAAGACCATTACCTCTATTCCACTGGCCTTCTAGACCATGGTTAAGCAGTTGTGGTGAAACTAAAAATCCCATCATTTATTCACCTCTGGAAGTCATGCTTATGGCTTCCAGAGTCTTGCAATGCCTTATGAGATTTGTAGATTTACCACAGCTGAAGGGCTGAAATGTGCCTAAACCCTGTTCTACACCATCACACTGCTCACCTGTTCCTTAACTGCAAAGTTTTTTTGGAAGCTCTTTCTTGCCACTGACCAGACTTCTTGCTGGTCTTGCAATCCCTCTTTACAAAACCAAAGAATAGGATTCCAAAGTATCTATATTCTGTCAATGAAAGCAATGTCTGCCTCATGTAAAAGAAAGGAGAGAATACCACATCCTCTGATTTAGAGGGGGAATCTTCAATTCTTTTCTCTTTACTTGTAGCAGTAAACTGCAAGCTAGAGGTCACAGCTGTATGAAATGTACTTGCTGCAAATTGTAGAGATGCCACCTCCAGATCTCCAGTACCAGACACCTTTCCATCCCTGACAATACATTGATATTTTGTCAATGCAAACACAAGCAGAGAATAGAGACAGTCTTGAGAAAGCCCAACCCTCACCTTAAATGGTTTTGTCCTAATGTCAAAAATGTGGACACATCTATCAATGTATGTGCATGGTAAGGTGCATTTTCAGAAAATCATAACGATATTCCTGGTTAAGCAAAGTATCACAAGTATGTTACAATATCTTACATTCCATTCAAAGCCTCCAATTACAATTCCACCAGCAGCTGCGGTGCCTGCCAGACCAACAAAGTGCCCACTTCCGATGTTACTGGCAAAAAGGGATGCCCCAATCTGAAAAAAGAAAGAAAATTGCATTGTACATTAACATTACATAGAGCATTACAATAACATTACATAGTTTGTAAATGCTGCATACTGGACTTTTACATACCTCTTTATAGGTTTTATACTAAGAAAGCACAGTCTGAATTATTTATCCCTATCATAGTCACTGTTTCTACACCCTGTACACATTTTACATAACTTCTAAGTATAGTTAATATGTAATTAGCTCTTTTTGCCTTCTAGTTTTATAATCTAAGTCGGAAACATGACAATAGAAGTTAACTGATTGTTCTGGACAACATGTGTGAGGTTTTAGTGACAGGCAAGTGACCTACATTCATGGGCCAAAAACTCTATCTGCAACTCAGTATAAAACTGCCCATACTTATAACTTTGGCTTTACCATCTGCATATCAGGGCCGGATTTACTCTCCCTGCTGCCCCAAGGCCAGGTTCCTCAATGCGCCCCCCTCCCTGCCACCTTCCACCCCCAATGGACAATGGCAACCAGATGGTGGGGGCGGCAGGGATTCTTTTTTTTCTTTAGTTTAAAAAAAAAACTTTTTATCACTTTTTTAATTTTTATTTATTTATTTACTTTTTAAAATTTTTATTTATCGTATCTTTTACTTTTTTATTTTTTTAAATAATTTTTTATCTTATAATTTTTTTTAATTTTTAATCACATTTGCAGTGTGATCACCATGCAGTGTTATTGCAAGCGACATCGCCGAGATCATTTGTAAATGAACGAGTGGCTTCCCCCCCTGCACATTTAGCCCTGCTTGCCCTACAGTAATCGTACAAATACTGATCTCGTTTGTTTTTTGAATGATAATCGCAAGGTGTATGGGCACCGTAAGGCAATAGTTACCACCCTAGAAATGGTTTACAGCCAGCTTTCCTAACAAAGGAAATGTGAAAGCACCATGAAGAAAAGAAAAGGATAAAGGTGGTGAACTTCTGTTCCCTAGCTAACTGTCATTAAAAGACTGTTTTGAAATAACTATACGATAACATACTTGTTAAATTTAGAACCCATATGCGCTGTTAGATAATTGTACACATGTAATCAGTCTGCTGCGACTACGTGTAATCTGCACTATCATCAATGTATGGGAAACACCCACAGCTGGCTTTTTCACCTTTTCAAGAGAATTACCATAGTCACTTTGAAAGCTTACATAAATAAATTCCTGTCACAATATACAGCTACAGTGTTATTGTATTTTTATCCATTAAAGAACAATCTTTGAAGTTCGGTTCACATGTAACCATTAAGGTGCTTTACGGTAAGGCACTCTCATTAGCGTGGGCTGGCAATGCATCTCAATGGTCCCAGAAACTGGACCTGAACCTTTTTTGGCAACACACTGCACCACAACCCTCGTTAGTGCTTTGCAGTGTGTTGTACCACTGTGCAGTGGACTTGCTTTAGTGAGGCAGATTGAGGTTCCATTCAGAATGAATGCAAGTAGTGAGTGTTGCTGTGCACTGCAGCCTAAAATAAAATTAAAGTGACACTAAACTCAGGAGTTAGATCCTAAAAATGCATTCAAGTACCTTATCTATTAACAAAAATGTATCTTATTTGTGTATCACTCAGCTGTAGATCCTCAAATCATCTCTGAATTCATGCCGACACTGTCCTTCCTTCTGGAGGGTGGCTACTTTTGTTCCATGGTGCCTGTGTGTGTTGTAAAGTAGCCACCGCTCCAAGCTCACTACCGTGATGGACTACAATCTCAATACAAATTAGGAAACTAAACATGAGATTGTAGTCCATCACAGAAGTGAGCTTGGAGGATTGCAGGATTGCATCACATTAATCAGCAGAGACTTAAATGCAAAGCACACTCAGAATCCAGGAACTTCTTGAAAGTGATGAGCAGACGGAAGGCAGCACTCACTACATAAAAGGGATTTTATTAAATAAGCTTTGATTGCATTATCAGCACTGGTAGAACTACTAGGTTCGCAGGGGTCACATATGCGACTGGGCCCTGGCGTTCTTCCACTTGGGAGGGTGGGGAGGGGGGCAGAAAGGACGTCATTCCAGGCGTGGAGATGATAGGTGTAAGACACGGCCAGTCCACTTGAGGGAGAGACACACAATGCCAGTTGAGACACAGGAGGGCTGCTCTTTCCAGTAAACCACTCGGATAAGGAAGTCTCAGGAAAGGTCTTGTGTGTTTGTTCACCCATTTGTGAATAAAGTTGCAATTGTTGAAAAGGAAATGCCTCAGTTGAGAGTGCTCTTTGTCTCTGTAGATAATTGCCCTGAGAGAGAACTGTGTCGAGATCATTTATGGCCATTTTTGACATGGTCAAAGGAATTCGAGTGCAGGGCTGGAACATGTAACACAACGCATGCACAGCATACCATGTTAGAAAAGTGGTTTCACTAAGTATTTTTCCTTCGGTTCTTTTTGAAACTGGTTTTGTGTGTTTCTGGGTATTTTCTTCTTGTCTGTCATACGGATAAACATTGCCAGTAGTGGCCGCATTAGAACTTAGTTTCTTTACAGACAGCAGGGTGCGTCTGAGGTACCCTGAGCATGATCTCATGCGGTGTGCTGAGGAGAATGTTTGCTGAAGCTGCCTGTGCATTTGAGAAAAAAGGAATCCCAGAAGTCATGTCTACTGTACTAGATCTGGAAGGTGAAGGTTTATAATCATATGTCTGCATTTCCTGGAAAGAGTGCATTTCACTCACTGGCGGAACTGCTAGGGTTGCAGAAGTCACATGTGTGACTGGGCACTGGTGTTCCGCCACTTGGAGGGGGGGTGTAGAAAGCTAGAAGAGCGCCCTGCTCTGGTAACCCTGGTGACTACAGCTCCCAGCAGGCCAATGCTCCGCAGCTCCCTCCCACGGTGGTGGGTTGGGGAGGTGAGGGGGGCATTTTTATGGTTTCTTGCACCTGGGCCCTGAGGTTTCTAGTTATGCCTCTGATTACAAAAATGAATGAAAAACAACTATAGTATGTATTCTTATTATAATGCTGATATTATAACAGGATAGTATATACTGGGACTTGATAACTCAGTCAAAAATTATGCCGAGGATTGGGAAGATGGTATGTGTGGTAGAATTATGCCATCAGTCTGGTGCTGGCAGGAAGAAGCATTATCTCAGTCTCCTTTTCCCCAGTGCTCATGTAAAATTATAAGCAATAAGACAACAAAGGCACATACAGCTTAGGTAAGGACAAAACAAACTTGTGCAGACCACAGTTTTTTTTAATATAGCTGAGTTATACCAAAACCAACCTCTTAGTTCAGAAAGTAGGTGCTGACCCAGGAGGATTGCTGGTAATTTAAATTGTATTTCCACTTTTGTAGTTAAAAAAAAAAAAACACCATATGTTTGTAATGTGTTCCTATTCACAAAATAATAAAAAGAACATTTCTTACCTTCTAGATGTTTCTTTGGAGCAGGCCTTTAGGCACACTACAAGCTACTCTGAACAATTTCAAAGTGAATCCTCCCCCATACCCCATACCATGTAATAAAAAAAAAAAAAATTGGCCCTGATGTAAATGCAACATCAATCACGATCAACAATATCCTGATGTCCCGCAGAAATGAATGGCTGCAGCTGCTAGAGGTTAGAATGGGTGAACTGGCCATTTAGTTCACCTGTTCTGCAAACTGCAAACAAGCTGGGTTTGGGTTTAACTCATAGTCGACCCCAACCGGAAGCTAATCTCTAGTTATAAGTTGTAGGTTGGGACAGTGGTTGGGACAGTGTCTGAAGCAATCCTAGTTCAGCAAACAGTTGTATGCAGCAAGCAAAGGTCATCATATTGTATATCCAGAGTGTTGGCAGAGGCCAAGCAGAAAATATAGTGGGAAGAGTGACTAGTGGATTAGTATTTTCTTATAAATATTAGGAAAGGGTTAGTTCATCAGGGTATTCTGTTTTTTAACACCTCAGGTTTGAGAAAGAAAGAAAGAAAGATATTCCTTTTATCTGTGTCTTTTACATACACAACTGAATTTAAAATAAATTCTAAAAAGCTACTTGCAAAGTAAAGGTAGGCCAGAAGTTGGTATCTTTGGAGAAACTTTGAGCCAGAATGTGTGCTAATGTAACAGAGTTACAGAGGCCTTTTGTAGCATGAGTTGTGATATATATTCACATACCACTGGAGACAAGATCAGTTTCTTTCATACACGACAGCCATTGTGGTATTGACCAGGTTATATGATATACCAAAGAACAATATCACATAGTGTTGTAGAATTGGCTTTGATTCACATTCGAGAAGTAAATACCAAGAATGTAAAAAAAATGTCCTTTTCAATTTTTTTAATACCTGGGAATTTAGCCTGATGATTGGCCTGTTTTTCTTCTATTTATTCAAAAAAATAAAAAATGGTAAAGTGAGAGCTGATTTGCTCATTATAGGAACAAATGCTTATTTAGGTTAAATATCACTGCTAAGCGCAGAAGCAGTGGCAATAATTTTGTGCAATAAGCATATTGTTTGCCTTTCATTTGCATACAAGGCCCTACTACTGGTCCTTTGGTGGGTGGGAATGTAATGCATTTCGTTTTCCCTAGGGGTCCCCACCTGCCATTAGATTGGGGTATAAATAGCAAGAAAGGGAGGAGTTCAGGGAAACGGAGTGGGGAGTGTAAGGAACAGAGTTCACCTGGTTCCCGGGTCATGATGTGCCCCTTAGGGTGAAAGTCGCTAGTTCTTCAACCATTATAGCTGGAGAATCAGTAGAGCACCATTCTCTAGGCAAAAGTTTTGAACTAGACTAGCCTTGAAATTAAACCAAGCTGAAAATGGGCTGATCAGTTGCAAAATTACCCTCAGTAAAGAAAACTTGCACAAGAAGGTGGGCTGAGTATTCTTGTGTATTGGAGGGTGGCCAGGTATACCTTGGGAAAACGAGTACAGACACTAGATGGTCAGGATAAGGTGGTGGCCAAGTGAAGGTGGGTTGGCCAGCCTGGCAGTGGTGATGGGTTTCCTGTCTAGATCACACACCT